GCACAAATGTATTTTGATTTGGATCCTGCAGACACTGTGCTTCCTAACTTCCAATCTTCATTCTTAGATTCTATCAGGACAATGATTTCTGGAAAAGGAAACTTCTTTATGTGCTCTCCAGACTTTCAAAATGTGACCCAGATGGCAGCTATAACAGCCATGAGAGCCCACAGAGAAATGAACATAAATACATCCAACAGGATAATAAGAATAAATACTTTGTCAGTTTGGTTAATCTCAGGATTGAGCACTGAACATCTGGATACACTTTATCTCAGGAGCTGGGAAACTCTTCTCAAAATTCTACCACAACACAGCTCAGCTGTTCAAGTGCTTGGCACTGCTGCGACCAGGATTGCTAACCTTGCTAAATGGTGAGCACTCAGCTGCTCAGGGCTGCTGTGGTCTCAAACTGAAGATCTTACATAATACTCCCACCAAGTCAGGCTTTAACTTGGCATCCTAGTGGTGAAAGATTAGCAATGTAACCTATTGCATCACCTGCCACTCGTCATTGCCTCGAGATGACGTGCTGTCACTTCCTGGACTTCTCCATTTAGGACTTTAAACTACCCTTAGATTTTTTTTTTTTTTTTTTAGAATACCTGGTAATTCAGAAAATTAAAGGCTTTCTTGATGCATGTTAGGACAGAAGACTTGTTTCAAAACAGTTTCTTTGAGAATAATTGTTTTCAGAAATCACACAATTTGAGATGTGGAAATATGGAGAGCAGATTGCCTTGACAGAAAGCACCTTTACTTAAACTGTCATGTGGCTCTTCCTTAGAAGGGACAAATAGACTAGAAAATAATATAATCCATTCTTTGCCCTCTGCAGCTTTTCTATCAGAGTTCCCTGCCCATGGCAGGGATGGTCTTTAAGGTCCCTTCCCACCCAAACCGTTCTAGGATTCATTCTGTGATTCTTCAAACTAAGGCTCTTCTGGGGCAATTTTAGTGAAATGCAGCATTTATACCATCCACTGATTCCTGTGACTTTTGGGTTACTTCCATGGAAGGAACTGGAGGATAAGGAAAGCTGATGAGGCATTTAATAGATCACCTGTTATATTTTGTGAGACCTCTCATAAACACGTGGGTACCTTGACTTTCATTGCTTTTCTGAACGTGGCAAACAGGCTGGCCAAGAGACAATGCCAGAAGACATTGCCAAGTACCTCTCAGCCTCTGCTGCCACCAGGAGGTGACACCCACGTGTTCCACAGTGAGCACAAAAATCCGTGGTCGTGTCTCTTCCAAAGGGACTGTTCTGCCAGAAGCAGGGACAGTAGAAGGCCTCTGAGTTCCCTCTCTGCCTGCTCCTTGTCTTGGGTCATCTTTGTCCATCTCTCCATGGTCCTACTTGAACAATCCCCAGGTGGAAAACAGGGAATTCTGTGCTTAGCTCAGGAACCTGTGTGTAGGTAGCACATAGCTTATTACAGATGTTCTAGTAATAGTGAGAAAGAGAGTAAGAGAGAGATTTCTAGGAAGGAGAGATCTCTAGGAGATGTTTCTGGAAGGAAATTTTCCAGTCATGTATTACACAACAAATCATACTGATTTTCTTCAAGAAAAATGCTTGGTCATTGACATTACAATAAATATACTTATCTTTAATTCCTCTATATATTTAATTTTTCAGTGTATTCTTTCAACTTTGCAAACCCAACTGCATGAATTTTTTTTGTTTTTTCTTTTTTTTTTTTCTTAAATACAATTCTGAAAGTCTAGTTAAACTGACGTTTCTAACATTCCCATAACTGTGATGCTACGGTGTTCCCCCATGTACTTCTTTCATTATCAGGTTAAATGTACTTGGTTTCCAAAGTGATTTTGTGGTTCTTGCACCCAGAAGTTACCAGCAGTCTGGGCAGTTTGACACCAGCTGCTGCTGCTGCCTGCTCACTGCAGACACTGTGAGTACAGGTGATGTGATGGGAATCATGGAATTACGGAATGGTTTGGGATGGAAGGCACCTTAAAAATCACTAAATTCCAACCCCCTGCCATGGGCAGAGATGCCACCCACTAGATCAGGTTGCCCAGGAATAAGGGAGGCTACTAAATTCCCTGCTCTCTCTGCAGCGTTTCAATTCAAAGCTCCTTTAATTTCGTATACAGGCATTGCTTGCTTTTTACACGTAGGACTTACTTGTGATTCCCCTTAACATCTATATTCAGCTGTGAGTAAAGTCAATTTTTGTCTATGCCTGAAAATATTGCACAAATCCCTATTCAGAATTGTCAGAGATAATGGATACTCAGTGGGGCGTTTCCAGAGGTGTTACCAGTGCGAATGGCCTCGTCTGGGCAAAGCGGGGTTTGACAGTGGCTGCTGCTTCCAGGGCTGCTTGGAATCACAGCTGTAATAAGTGCCCAGTCACCACATCCCTGATGAGAAGCCAGAGATCACCCTCCCGAGCAACTGCACCTCGGCAAAGCAGGGAGGGAAGGCTCTGTCCAAAGGGATGGGGAGCATTCAGCCAGGAAAGCTTTGGTGGCCTGGGATCAGAGCTGGAAAATCTGCATTTCCATTGACGTGCATTCCCCTTCCAGTGCTGTGCAGAGGTACAGGTCATGTAAAGTGGGGGCCATGACGGATATTAACTGTAATTAACTGTAAAAAATTTTGGGGGATCTGGGTTAGAAGTGACTAGACAGAGGGGTAGAATAAAAAGGCTGGAGTTTCTTGCATAGGAATCGAGATTTCCCATAAAGTTGATGTGGCTTTGGAAAAGGCAAAAATTGCTGGCAAAGCAGAGCCTTGAAAGGTTTATGAACAGCAAACAACACATCTCAAAGGAGGAGGCAATTTATACTATTTGTTTATTTTGATTTGTGATGTTCTCTGGGTTGTGCTGGGTTTTTTTTTCTACGCTTTACACTTCTTAAGGAAAAGAACTAATCATATGACCATAGAGATATGAGTACACTGTGGGTCATCAGCCATTTCATGCTCTGGGAACCTCTCAGAGTGACAGCCAAATGATATCAAGTCCTGGTTTTTTTTGCATGCACAGTGATGGCAATCACAAATAGGAGGTCACAAATAGTCAAGAGGATTTAGATCTGGTTAGTCCTAACCTGAGACAGAGAAAATGGACTGGACAAGCTTGCTGGAACACCTGTCCCTTCCTGCAGGGCTTGAGCTTCTAATAGCCCATGGGCAGCCAGAATGGCCAGATGGTTTGTTAGCAGTGGTGGGTCCTGGTGTCTTGGCTAGGATGGCTGATCCACTGGCCAGAAAGGAAGGCAGCTCTGGATGTACCCTGAGGGGCTAAAACGACCCCATCTTTTCTAACTCTAACTTAAATTAGAGATAAAAAAGTTACTTTAATTATCCTGCAAGTGAACACATTCATAGAGCAGTTATGACTTCCAAACCCATGACCTGAAGTGAACCTTTTGTTCTGTTGATAGCTCTGCAAATCATTGAGAAGACACTTAGTACCTCCTCTTCAGTGTGGAAAGACAACTCAGGCCATTTCAGCTGGCCCAAGCCTGCTCTTGGGGGTCTCACACCTCCATTCCCTGCAAATCTGGGAGTGGGGAAGGTGGGTTTTGCAAGAGAGGGATGTCCCATGAACCCCTTCCTTGCAGCCAGCCCAGAGGAGATGAAATACCACCCTCAGCCACTGACATCAGCACAGGGCACTGCCAATATCCACACAGGTGGGCAACCAGTCCACAAAGTCCACTGCTTCACCCAAGTACAATTAAAAACAACTCAACAGGGAATAATTAAAAAAAAACCAAACTTTTTATTTAGACCAACACAAGAAGAGCTAGATAGGATTTATGAGCTAAGTTTTTTGGTTGGAGAGCCAATGTGTACTTTAAAGCATCATCAGAGACCGAGAAGACACAGTCTTGAACACTGTGTTGTAATAATTGGTAAAACAGATGAGACAGATTTTTTTTTAAACCAATTACTTCCCGTCCATTCGGAGACAGATAAGCCCCCAGCTAAAATTCCTTTTCATTCCAGTGCTTGTAACGATGAAGATGAAATGTGATTTTCCTTCTAACAAATGCTCCGAAAAGCAAAACCGGAAAAAGCTCTTGTTTCTCTGTTATGGAAAATAGGTCTCGACATGCTGCAAATTCTGCATTTTACTTACTTTCTACCACAAATGCCTCATCTTTAAAGAAATGAATACTGTAATCATTTTCTCAGATTTATGTTTTCTTTTCTGCCTCATTTGGCACTAATGCTGTGTTATTACAAGAACAACTGTTCACTGCAAAAAGAATGATCTTTAGACTTCTCATCCAAGACCTTTGGAGTCACTGGGAATGAACTGCAAAGAAAGGCAGGGAGGCCGTGGACATGAGCAGCAGCTGAATACTTTCCCACTGACCAGGCAGATTTTCTTCTCGTTGCCTGATGACACAGAGCTGCGGTTTCCTACCCCTTCTCAGACTCTCCTCCAGGTAGAGGCTTGCAGTTTTCAGAAACGATAATAAAACGTGGGTCAAACAGGGTGCAAACAAGCCCCACGAGCAAATTCAGAGCCTGGGAACATCTTCACTGATGAGCGTCCCTGGGATTTGAAACGGCCACGTGCACCATCATCAGGATGAGGATCACAGCAGTGGTAACGAGTGCCACAGCTCCCGAGCCCTCGAGGGTTGAGACATGTGCTGGCAAGCCAAACAGCAATGAGGAGCGCTTTAACAATGAACTTGGAGAAGAATCTGGAGGGAATTAGTGTCAGGCATGTGTAAAGAGGGTTACTTTTCCCATCTCCGACACCTATAATTACATCTCAAACGTGCTAATAAAATCCAGTGGTTACAGTGGGTTGGTTTTTTTTCCTCTGTGTCAAAGTTAAGCATGCTGCCATGACGCCTAAGAAAAAAAAAAAAATCAACTTTCTTACACTTCCAGTCGCCATGCAATCACCAGAAGCGATGACGGCTGGGTCAGAAGGGCCGAGGTGCGCTCCTGGCTCCCGGGGGCCGGGCTCGGCCCGCCGCCCCCTGCCTCGCCCCGCTCAGAGGTGCGGGGCGTAGAAGGGGCCGAGGTACGCGGGGCCGAGGAAAGGGGCGAAGAGGCCGGCGCCCAGCGGGAAGGGGGCGGCCGGCGGCACCAGGACGTTGGCGGCGGCGTAGGAAGGGAAAGTCTGGAAGGGCAGAGCGGCGGGGCCCGGTGGGCTGGGGCTGCCGCCGCCCGCCGCCGCCGCGGGGGATGCTGCGGGGGCCGCGCCGTCGGCGCCCGGGTGCTGCTTCTTCCACTTGGTGCGGCGGTTCTGGAACCAGATCTTCACCTGCGTCTCGGTGAGGCTGAGGGACAGCGCCAGGCTGAGGCGCTCGCAGACCGACAGGTACCGCGTGGCTCGGAACTTGTTCTCCAGGGCCACCAGCTGCTCGTAGGTGAAGGCGGTGCGCGCCCGCCGCGGTTTCCCGCAGCCCGGCTCTGCCCGCCGCCGACGGGAGCCCCTTGGCGAGCCCGGCTCCTCCGGCCCGGGAGAAGGCCCGGTCCCGTCCCCGTCCCCGCTCGGGTCCTCCTCGTCGCGGTCCTGCCCCGCGTCCTCGGCGCTGCTCTCCGCCGGGCCGTGCGGATCTAGGCGAGATGGCAGCGCTCGTCAGATGGAGCTCACCTTCCTCCCGTCACACCCCCACCCCCGCCCGAACCCCGCGCTTCTTCTCCGGCATTTCCCCCTCTCCCCCTCCCCAAGCGTGGAAATATAAGGGCAATCATTAAAAATAAAATAAAAGGGAGAAAAACCCCTCCCGCCGTGCAAGAGGAGGCCCCCGCACTCCTCCCCACCACCGCTGTGCCACCGCATCCGCGGCGTGGAGGGGGGAGGCGTCGATATAGATTTCTTACCAATTAAAAAAGAAGTTATTAAAGTCCCCTTCTGAAGCGAAATAAATCCCCTCCCTCCCTCCCCATCCCCGCGCTAATGGAGTTTCAGATTTGCGAGGGCCAGATCGATAGATGTCATCTATTAAAGGTAAGTTTTAATCGAACAATATTAGGATCAGGCCGGGGGAAGGAGGTTTGAAGTGGGCACCTGCAAGCTGCGGGCAGGAGATAGGCGGGAGTCGGTAATAGGATATCGATCACCGGGAGCTAAGGCATCCTCCGGTGGGGACGGGCTGAGCAATTACCCAGCCGGCCGTCCCGCGGGCCGGGGCAGCCGACCGCTCCCGCCCTGGGGAAGGGGTGCGCCCGGGGGTGCCCTTCCTCGTGGACAAAAAAAAAAAAAAACAAACCAAAAAAAACGAAAAAAAACAAACAACACAAAAAAACCCACCACAAAACAAAACAAAAAAACCCGTGCGGTGCTCCAGTAAGAGCCGCGGTCCGTCCGGAGCCGGCATGGGGCGGCGGCGCGCCCCGGGATGCGCCATCCTTGTCGGGCGGTACAGGATGCCCCGCACGCTGGGAGCCGTGAAGGACTCACGGATAGCGAGAACTTTTTTCCCTTTGCATCATCGAGACTTAAAATCCAGCTCCAGCCCCCCATTCCCTCTCTCCTGCGGGAGCCCCGCCGGGCGCTGGGATCAGGGGTCCCCTCTGCCTCCACCTGCGCGCCCCGCCAGCGCCGGACGGAGAAACTCGAGCGCGTTCCTACCATGTGCCTCTAGTTTATTCCTCCCGCTGCCGGGAGCAGCAGCGTCCTTTCCTACTTCAACTCTTCCCAAACTTTTCTCCCGCTCGCCCGAGCGGGGGGCGCTGCCCCAGCTCCCCGCGGCCGGTTCGCGTCTCCTGCTGAATTTCTGGGGATCCAGGATGTCTAAGATGGAGAAGGAGATTTTACGATGGATGGGGGCCGCCTTGGCCCCGCGGTCCGGGCATTCCGGCATCCCACCCCACCCTCCGCGCTTCCCGGGGACCTGCTGGCTCCCAGCGCTGCGCCGGGCGCGGAGCGGGGCCGCTCCCGAGCCTCAGCCTCGGCGCTGGCGGCGCGGAGTGAGCGGCGGGAGGAGGGTCGGGCGGGGAGGCGGAGGGGCCGGCGGCGGGGTGGGGGCAGAGGAGGGGGCAGCGCAGCCATTGGCACGCCGCCCCCGCGCCCCCTCCCCGCCGCGCTGGCTCCGCGGGGGCGCAGCGGGCGCCTCCCTCCATCCCAGCCTCCCGGCGGCGGGGCTTTCCCGTCACCTGTCCCGGGATGGGTGGGGGAACGCGCAGCGAGTTGGGCCGGGGGCGGCCAGGACCCTTCCCCGGGTTCTCCGCCAGCGCAGGGATGCGGCTGCACTCACAGCGCGCCGGCAGCTGCCGACCCCCGGGTCCGGAGAGCCCCTCGACTGCTGCTGTCCCCCGCTGTCCGCTGACACACCTGCAGCTCCCTGCTCAGTGCCGGCCCAGCGGAGTGACCCTCGTGTTCAGAGGGACCCAGAGAGGAGGGATGGTTGCTGCATCCCTCTGCTGCGCCGGCCGGGCTCCGGGCTCCAAGCGCTCCCTCTGCCAGCGGCCACTCTGAGGTGCGAAACTACTGCGTGGTCCGCAGGTAGAAATGAGCAGCTTTTTTGTTTTGAGGCAGCTTAGGGATCAGTCGGGTTCAGACTTTGGGCCAAACCCCTGCAATTCACCCGTGGTGCTCAGACTGTTCTCAGTGAGCAGGCAGGGAAACTGAGGCTTGCCTGTGTTGGAAGAGTTCCTGCCCCACTGAGCAGCTCCTGGACTAACCCTCCTTGCTGTGGGGGGAAGCACTTTGTTGTATGTTAATACCTGTAAAGCAGGGTAGGCGACAGCAGGCCAAGCCTCTCTGCACCACCTTGCAGCAGCCCCGTGATCACTTCTAGCCAGCCCTGCTTATTAAAAACATGCTAGTAGTGTATTTCTGTACACCTCTATCTGGTCAGGGAGATGCTTTTCCCTCTCCTTAGCATTTCAGCATTTGTTGGTACCATAAATAACCAGATGGATGAAGGGAAAGGCACCCTTCAGCCAGGGAAAACAACCCTCAGTAGGAATCTGCTCCTCCACCTGCTTTTACTCCCAGGGAAAGATGCAGAGCACACCCCTCTTCCTCTTCACAGGTGTCTCAGCCTCAGCAGAACTGGGGTCACACAGTAATCCCAGTGCTCTTGCAAATACCTTAAGATAACAGGAGAACAAGATGATGAGATGATGATGTGCAGGGTGATGTGATTACAAGCAGCTGTCGTTGTTAATTATGTGGTGGCAGCATCCAACAGCCCATTTGGCCTCGGGGTGTAGAAGCAAAGGTTGCTCTGGCCTGAGGAGTTCACACTCAGAAGCTACAGGTGGGTAAAGCTTGGTTTTCAGGATGCAGGTGGTGAAGAACTGGGGGAAACAAAATCATTTGATATACTTGAGACCACAAATACTTCTGTTAGAGTCATTGGGTCTGCAGGAGCTGAGAAGGTAAATTGTAGCACTGAGATTTGTGAGTTAACAGACATCTTCAAATATCATCCATTTAACACCTGTATGCACAGCAACCTCCAAACACACACAAACACACGTGTGGAAAGGCACACGTGAAAAAGCACACACTCAGGGATTAGTTTTAGCGCCCGTGAAGTTGGTCCGTTTCCCAGCTCAAGCATTAAAATTCAGCCCGAGTGCTGTCTTCAAATTGCTTTGATGCTAGGTGGGTTTCAACCCTGACCTGTCCTGACGGCAAGTGATGGCTGTAACAAGCTGTGGATCAATATTCATAGCGGGTGTCCTGGGCTGATAACACTATCCAAGACAATGTTCACTATCGGTGCAGACAGCTGAGATATTGCGCCATTAGTAATGTTGTTTTAAATAACCTGATCCATTTCTGGGTCTATTTAATGAATTTCACAGTTTAGATATAATCTTTAAGGAGAAGCCAGAGGCTATTCCAGAAGCGGTGATGCAAATCAATGCTGCCAAGGCTCCTCTGCTTTCCTTAAAACAAAATGGACTATAATTCCACCGCAGCTCCTTATATATTCTGGGAGCCGCGGCGTGCTATTGATGGTATTAGCAATGAGAAGGTATTTGAGAGAAAACAGTGTTATCTGTAAAGTTGGAACACAGCTGATAAAATCTTATTTGTAATGCAAAATTCTTTATATGACGAGTCAGTGTTGGGTTTTTTTTTTTTTCCTTGGTTGCCACATGAATCAGAGGATGGCTCGGGTTGGAAGGAACCTTAACAATCATCTGGTTTCACCCCCACGCCAAGGGCAGGGATGCCACCCGCTAGACCAGGTTGCTCCAAGCCGCATCCAGCCCGGGTTTGGGCGCTGCCAGGGCCGAGGCAGGCGCGGTTTCTCCGTAGGAAGGAGCGTGCGAGCTGCTGCGGGGCGGAGCGGAGCCCGGGACTGCATTTCCCGGCATCGCCCGGCGCGGGGCCGTGCGGGCGGCGATGGCGGGCTGGGCTCGGGCCGTGCGGGGTTTGCTGCTGGATGTCAGCGGGGTCCTCTACGACGGCGGGGCCGACGGCGGGGTCCCCATCGCCGGCTCGGTCGAGGCCGTGCGCAGGTGGGTGCGCGCCCCGGGACCCCCCTCCGGCCGGGGCGGGGAGTGGGGTGGGATGGGGGCACCCCCGAGCGAGGTTTTGGCACCCCAGGGTCGGCGGTGGTCACCTTCTATGGGGCATTTAACTCCGCCGCCTGGAGTGTGACTCCCCTGTGTGAAGTCGCGGACGGAACAGCAAACAGGAACTTTTGGGGTCACCTTGGTGTTTTTTAGGGTTATTTAAGGTGAGGGAGCCCCCAGACCCTGGGCTGTTGGGGAAAGGAGCGTGGAGGAGTGCGGCCGATCACATCCTGTTCGGGTCTGTATTTGCTGTCATCAGTGCACACGCAGCAGCAGCAGGTGATATACGAGAGATCTGACGCCATCCCCGGTAGTCATTTTGAAAATACTACACGCAGTGGCGTGGTGCTTCTGCAAATTGATTAACTTTGCTGTCAGGTTAGCTGAGACTTCTCACAGAAAACTTGCAACCCAGCAGACATGGAAAATTTCTGCACCGGGGTTAATGATTGCCCAGCTTGGAAATTACTCGAAAGCAAAGTGTGGTTGGGATGAGTTAATTCCTGTGTCCACAGGTAGGGACCTCTTTCACTTTTAGCTGAGTGATGCAATCCATGTCACACAAGCTAAGTAAATTTGATTTAAGTAACTTGAATCAACTAGGTTGACTTGCCAAGTGTGTCTATACTGGCCCTGCTGGATCAGAGGAGCAGGATGGGGCCAGTGGCTGCAACTTTGTTTAAAGACAAGTATTGATTGGCATGTGTGCCCTGCTGGAGGAGGTTGTGGGTTTGTGTAAGAGCCTTTTGGCTCTACACTGATGTTTCACTAACCCACTGCAGAAGATCCAGATCTGTGTCATGTGGCAAGTGCTGGAAAGGGCTGTGAGCAACCTGGTGCAGTGGAAGATGTCCCTGCCCATGGCAGGATGGGGAACTAGATGGCCTTTAAGGTCCCTTCCAACCCACACCATTCTGTGACTGTGCTGCTGTGTGTACCCCATTTGAAATGTTCTAGAAGTTTAAATTCTGAACCCTGAAAGGTTGACAGCTGGGTGAGCACCTCTGCAGTTTCTGTCATCTGGGACCACTCAGCACACAGACACAGTTGTGATGAGTGCATTATTGAGCAGGAAAATGTGCAGGAAGAAATACTGAAAACAGTAAAATTAATCACATGAGGTTAGTTAAATATGTGCCTGAATGTTTGTGGAACCAGCTGGAGAAGGTCCAAATGTAGTAGCAATAACAGAAGTCTTTGCTGCTTTTTTTCTTTTTTAATAATTATGTCTTTGTTCATACTTCTTGAAACACGTGTAGCAGGCACAGAAACTGTCATCAGATGAAGCTTTTGTTTCCATCTCCAGGATCAGAGTTACCAGTGCTGTCAGAGAGCAGTGTTTGAAGCAAGTTTAAGGCTTATGGAGGCTCGTGGCCTATTTGTGATGCTCAGCTGGCTGGTGGAAGCTGCAGGTGCCAGGACAGCCAGCAGGAGAGCAGCACTCCCAGGGAATTCAGTGATATTAGGCAGAGGGAAAAGTTGCTTCTATAAAGACACTGTACTGTAGTGCTATGGCATCAGGGTCTTTCAAGGAGTTGGTGCACCTGTGCAGTGCTTAGCATGGAACAAGCCCAGATCATGGGCAAGGCCTCCAGGCATGGCCAAATCAAGCATAAATAGCAACAGCTGCATAATTACTGCCAGAGATCAGATCATTCCTTTAAAATTCAGGACAAAGTCAATAATACCTGTGTTGTGGTTCACTGGATGCTTTTGGTATACTGGTTTTTCCTCCTAGGTTTTTATTCATCGTTTTCTGTTGGGTTGCAAGGCTGTTATTTGATAACCTTTGTCACTGCCTTTGCTGAACCCTCTTGCATGGAGGCAGTGTAAACTGCAGTTCAACTTACATCAGTGTCAGAAATATGCTGATGAAACAACAGTAAAACTCTGGCCTTGGGCTAAAGAAATTATGGGATTTCTCTGGAAATACTGGAAATGTCTAAGCCCTTGTTCCTCGTTACTTACAGAAACCCCTCAGCAGCTAATCCAACCTGTCTGCCTGTCTGGAAGGGGCTGGGAGTGGGTTTGGAGGTGCAATCCAACAACAGGCTCTGGGGGAGCTGCACTGGGAAAGTTGATCTTGCTTGGGCAGGATCTGGTGAGCAGTGGAGAAGCAGCAGTCACAGCTGTGGGAATTGGGGACAGCAGAGTGGAATTAGGGACAGCAGAATGGAAAAGTGACAGGAAGGAAAAAAAAAACCCAAACCCAAACCACTTTGTTCAGGTCATTCAGTGTAGGTGGTTAAGAATAATCATTTTCCTTGGGTAAAGTCAAGTAGCCTTATTTATCTGCCTATTAGGTTGGTAATTGTTCTAGCTCACA